ATGCTTAAACGTAATTTTATTGAATATCTCACGATAAACCTGCCCATACAGTAATTTTTGTATGAAAATTTCTGCAATTCAATGACATTTATCATTCTTTGATTTTGAAAAAGTTTCGGAAATTCTGATATCATTAAATAGAGCTTTACTTAAAGTTTATGTAATAAACGTAACATTCAAATGAATATTTTCCTCATAACTTATTTTCTTTGTATTGTCTTTAAAGTTAAGAAATTAAGTACGATTTTTATGTACAAATCGGAAAGTTAAGTTATATGAATTAATTAAAATTATAACTATATTAAAAATATTAATTATTTAAAAACTAAAAAATATTAAACTCAATAGCCACAAAAAATGTCTGAAAAAGTCGCAGATATAATATTTAATATCTTATTATATTATAGAACAAGATAAAAAACGCTATTCTGGGAAAATTACTTAGTGTGCTCGGATTTTGAAAATTTTTGCTGCTCGTCTGCTCGCCTTTTAAAATTTCTACTGTTTTCGGTTAAAACGCTCGCTGACGCCAGTGTTTTACGATTTAAGGTTTGAAATTTTCACCAGGCCCGCCCAATGACATTCCTGAGATATGATAAAAAAGTCAATTCAATCCGTTCATTTTTAACCGTTTTACGAGCTTTGTTTTTTTTTTTTAAGTCCACGCGCATTGTTTTAATATGCGCATTGACTCATTTCTGTGCATACGTTTATTCATAACCTTAATTTTGTGGTGTAAAATGTTTTTTTATTAGGACACTATTTTGCATTTATACATAGGACTATATTTTTTATATATATATTTTATGGAGGAATGTTATATGTTATGTATAAATTTCAAGGCGCTTATAATTATATAAGTTTGAACTTTCATAATCAGAACAGTACATTATTAATAATCTTTTTTTTCTCATATACGATTTATGAGTCTATGAGTTTATCGTTTAAATTGGGATTCATCTGTGACATCTATGCTGTCCAACGTTAAATCAGTGTTATCAATATTTTTATCAAAATTAAATTTTTGAAATAGTCCCACGTTCAATAACCTGCTCAATTTTTTGTAATTATTCTATAATATTAACTTAATTATCATAATTAGAATATTAATAATTTTTGTGTATACCAAGGGTATATTTAAGGGAGATATGGGCCCCCCTTGAACCAGCGCAATCAATATTTTTTTAAGGCAATTTCTATGAAATAAAGATCTAATGTCCTTTTTTTTGATTATCACTTTGATTTTTTACAAAAAAAAATTTATAGCATGTTTAACAAAGTGAAAAAATATTAAATACCCTCCTACAATAATTTTTGAATACGCCCAAAGGGAATACCCCATTAACAAACGTCAACTTTATACCCAATAAATTTTACTATATTCTCTTTTTGAATTTTCCTGATTTTATTAAATAACATTTTTAATATATTTTTGTTACACTGATTCTTATGTAACATTTTTTCTGCAAAACACTTATCGTGCGCGACGTAGCCGTGTATTCCTACCGGAATCAGTGGCCTATTTATGATGACGGCCCGAAGAGGCGCGTAAGTCTCGTAGGGCCTCGGGTTATGGTCGGAGCCCCAGCTAGGCGTAGCCTAGTAATTAATATTATAATATAATTTTATTATATACGTTATATGAATTGTTTAAATAAAAACATTTTCAAGGAGGACATTTATTACAAATTAGTGTTTAATGTATAGTTAAATGACGTGGAAAAGGTATAATACTACTGAATAAAAAGACTTGGCGACTGTATAGTTGGCAATAAAGATACATTACAATTATTATGTAGGCATAAAAAATTCTCTTAGATAAAGAGTCCAATATTGCCTCTTAAGTACTTACTTGTTTCTTGAAAAGTCCTATTGTGATCCAAATCTCAAAAAAGTTAAAATAAAATATTTTAGTAATATCCATTGAATAAATGTATAAATGGATTAACTTATAAATAATTGAACCAAATTAATATTTACTTGTGTCACCTAAGTGCAAGTTACTTAATAAAAATAAAAGTTTACATTATATGTATAATATTTTCTATGTTTAAACGTAATTTTTGCAGGAATATTTATGTATATTAATAACATTTTTTCTTTTGCAGGTTTTGAAAATGTTTCAGAAATGTTTAAGTAGAGCCTTTATTAAAGTTTATATAATAAACTGCACTTTGAACTAATTTTTTTCCTTTCTTTTTACGGTCATCAAAGTTAAGGAATAAAATACAATTTTTGTATACAAATCGTAAAGTTAGGTTATTTGAATTGTTGCAAAAATTTTTTTCAAGGAAGATTTTTTTACAAATGCGTGTCTATTCTAAAGTCAAAAGGCGGGGGGCAGAGAACCACAAATAGAGGTACCATCGGACGAAATAACTTTTTTTCTTATTTCTTTTTTGATGTAGAAAAAAAATTGACAATGAATAATGAGAAATAACATTAGTAGGGTAAATTAGAGAGTGTTGCCCCTCGCCTCACCCACTCTCCCATCATTTGTGTTGTATCGAAGGAGTGTGTTCGGGGGTATTAAATCCTACTAACCTAATGCAATGGAAGGGGAACGACGAAACCTATAGTAAACTAACTATGGTGGGAGAGTTTCTCTTCCTTCAAC